AGAGCTGGGGGAGGTGAATGCTGAACTGAGGACACGCAAATTCCTGGACACACTTCTGACCCGCTTCCTTATCCCCTCGGCTGACCTTGCTGTGTGCTGTTCAGTTTAATACCACAAACTCTTGATGGTGATCCTCCAGTGGGCCAGGCCCTGGGCCCTGCCCCAAGATATGAACTCAAATGCCGCCAACACTGTTCTGCCCTGGAGGAACTCCCTGGCCAGTGGGGGAGACAAGTGAGCCCCACCATGGCCAGCCCTCCCCTCTGCTTCTGGGCTCCTTCACCCAGACCCTCCACTGGGGGAAAGGGCTCCTTTCCCCTCCCCACTAGGTCCTGCGACTTCAAATCCTTACTACCTGCTCCCAGAGCAGAAATGGGGGGATGAAGTAAAGAGAAAAGCATGGGCTTTGTAGTCAAGACAGTCCTGGGTTCCAATCCCAACCCCAGTCCTTCCCAACTGCATGTCCCTGGGCAAGGGACTTCACTTCCCTGAGCCAACTGTCCTTTAAGTCTCAGGACCTGTGGTGGGGGTCCCACGCAGCACACAGCACCAGGTGGCCTTTGCCTTCCTCCAGCTGGGAGAGCCTTGGGCTCTTTCAGCCCTCCTCAGGAAGGTTCCTCCCCAGTCCTCCCCAGTCGGAGAGGCAGTGATGAAGAGCTCCAGCTGCATTACTCCCACTATCAGATGGGGAAACCAAGGCCCAAAGTTAGGACATGATCCAGAAAATCCCAGCAGGTGCTTAGTAAATATTTGTTACATGAATTCATGAATGGGTGAATAAATTTGGGCAGATGTCTGTAGAGCCTTCCATTAGGAGAGCTGGAAGGGCCCCCTGAGACTCCTAACTAGGGTGTGTGAACCAAGAATGGAGGGTGGGCAGGTGAGCAGATGTGCCAAGTTCCGTGTTTGTGTCTTTGTCAGTAGAAGTAGTCCATAATATTTTCCTCAATCTTTCAAACTGGGTTGCTGACGCAAGTATGTTTAAGAGCCCTGATTAAATCTCTGCCCCATTTTATAGACAGGGAAATTGAGTCCCAATTCACACAGGAAGTCAGTGGCAGAGCAAGCCTGAACGCACCCAGGCCTTTTACACACAGACAGTTGGAAATTCCAACATCCTGCCTCTCATCCCTGAAGCCCCCCTCCTATGTGACTCCCAGCAAGGCCCCCACGAGCTTCACCCTTCCTCCAGCTTCTCCACAGGGAAGAGAGGAGGATACATTGCATCTGGGAAGGCTTTCTGGACTAAGGAGTCCTGGCACCCAGCTCCCCAGTTCTTAGAATTCTCATTTTCTAATCTCTCTTTCTCTGTGTGTGTATCTCTCTCTGTCATTGTTCAGTTGACAACAGGTAAGAAGGGACAGCAAAAAATTACAATCTTAGGAACACCAAATACACATCAAAACATATTTGGCCAAAGAAGTGCTTAGAGGTAAATTTATGGCCTTAAATGTATTCATTAAAAAAATAAAAAAGATTGACAAAAATAAACTAAATTTTCACCTCAATAAACAAAGAAGAAATTAATTAATAAAAATAAAAACATTCCTGAAAGAGATGACATAAATAAGAGGATAATGAAATAAAAGTATCTTCTTTAAGACCAATAAAATAAACAAACCTTCGGCAAACACGATCAAGAGAAGGCACAACTGAGTAACGCTGAGAATGAAGAGCAGAGAATGTTAGCTCAGATTCACATGAAAGTCTCAAATTACAAGAGAATCATCCCACAATGTTATAACAACGAATTTGAAAACTTGGATCAAATGGACAATATTCTGGACACTGGCTTCCAAATTTGAGCGTGCATCAGAATCACCTGGGGGGCGGGCCGGCCCCGTGGCTTAGCGGTTGGGTGCTCACGCTCCACTGCTGGCGGCCCGGGTTCGGATCCCGGGTGCGCACCGACGCACCACTTCTCCAGCCATGCTGAGGCCGCGTCCCACATACAGCAACTAGAAGGATGTGCAGCTGTGACACACAACTATCTACTGGGGCTTTGGGGGGAAAAAAATTAATAAATAAAATCTTTAAAAAAAAAAAAAAGAATCACCTGGGGGGCTTGTTAAACACAGATTGCTGAGCCCTACCCCAGAGTTTCTGCTTCAGTCATTCTGGGCTAGGGTCCAAGAATCTGCATTCCTAACAAATTCCCAGGTGCTGCTGCTGCTGCTGGTCCAGGAACACACTTTGAGAACCACCGTCCCAGGGACTACTACCTACTCCATTTACTCCCCCTCCTGAGCTGCCTAACAGCTCTGTTCTGCCTGGATTGGGAAAAGAGGGGTTCTGTGATCAGCGGCCCAAAGCACCTACTGCTGGATGACTGAGAAGCTGGGCTCTCAGGCAGTGGGGGCCCAGGCAGCGAGGCGAGGGCCCTCACCCACGCCGGGCACTGTGCTGAAGGCTCTCACCAGGACAAGCTCATTTAATCCCATGGCATTGGTGCTGCTGCTTTACCAGATGAGGAAACCGAGGCACCAAGAGGATGAATAACTTCCTGAGCCCACAGCCGGTAAACAGAGGTTGGAATCCAACTCTTAAACTCGCCATGGGCCACTGACCGTGCCCTGGAAGCAATATCGGCCACACCACCCACACCTTCCCCCTAATTCTGTACCCACATACCCGTGTTGGGTAGGCCTTGTGGTCCCAATTTAACAGAGCCAGGAAGTGGCCAGAACAGGCCTGGAATCCAGGGCTCTGAAAGCCAGAAGGGAAGTGGAGCTAGGGGGGGTGGGGTGTCATGTGAACTCTCTGATCCTAAGTTCCCTCCTCAGGTAAATGGGGCCCTTTCCTCACAGGGTCGTTGTGAGGAATAAATAAGGGCCCAGCCCCCTGCCTGGCACACACACAGTTCTCAACCCACACTAGCTCTTCTGTTGTCCTTAAAGTTATTATTATATAACAGCCAGAGTTTCTCACAGGCGCTTCCACAGACCTTATCTCGTTTACTTCTCATAGCCACCCTGGGGTCAGCTATTACCCTGTTTTACAAATCAGGAAAACAAAATGAGGCTCCAGGAGGGGCAATGAAGGACCCAACAGCCCCAGACCACCAGTGGCAGAGCCTGAAGTAGAAGCAGGAGGCACCCAGCACCAGAGCAATGGCGTCTACTCCATCTGAAGATTCTTGTCCCCCAGACGGAGGGGAGGAGGGCCTGCCCACGCCCCAGGCACCCCGCTCTCCTCACCCCTCACCGCCCTGCGGCCTCATTCTCCCCACCCAACACTGAGGTTCGCAAGGGCCAGCGACTTGCCCAAGGTCACATGGGGGCGGCGACCTAACTCAGGGACCTAGGCCTTAAGACTGCAAATCCTGAGGCCTCTCGGTTGTTGGGGGCAGATTATTAGGAAGAATCCCCAACCTGTGGCCTCTTGCCCTTCCCGGTCCTCCAAGACTGATCCCACCGGTAGACAAATACATCTTTGTCTCCAAGACACTGAGCCTCCGCAAATAAAACTGCAAACAAATAAACAAGAATAAGAAGAAGAATACAGCAACCATCACGCTGGGGGTGCGGGTGGGGGCGGGAGGGCGGCCTCGGCGGCTCAGCGCCTGCTGTGTGCTGGACCCTGAGCCCCGCGCTCTCAATATCTCCCTCTCGGCCAACGACAATCCCGCAATGCGCGCATTGCCCATTTTACAAATACTAAAAGCAAAGCCTAAAGGTGTGGAGGCACTTGCTCAAGGTCACTCAGCTAGAAAGTGACTGGCCCAAATGTGAACACATTTCTAGCCAACCGCACATCTGAGCTCTCACCATGTCCACAAGAGAGCGAGCGCGAGGAAGAGGCCTGGCCGGGGGTGCGGCAGCCAGTTTGCACCTCACGATTTTAGAATGAGCGGGTAGAAAACGATTCTGGATGTCTCCCCCAGGGGAGACAACTGAGGCTGGCGCGCGGGGGTGGGGGGGGGCGTGACGGCCCTGCGTGCGTGCGGTCCTGTCCACGGCGCCCCACGGCCCGCCTAGACAGCCCCCGAGGGCGCGAGCAGAGCAGGGAGTGGTCCCAGCGCCCAGGCCGGCCTGGAGCGGGAGGGGCTGGCTGCTCCTGTTGCCTAAAGAAATCCCGCTATTTGCTCTAAAGATGAGCCGCCCCGCCCTTGGCCCTCGTGAACTCCATGTCCCCACACCTGCCGCGCCACGGGCGGGTCTCCACGCGCGACCACAGTCCCGTCCATCCTGCAACGAATTTCGAGGGGCCGGATCCCCATTCCCTACCGGGCGACCCCGAGTCCCCAGCCCCGCCGGGCCCGGAACGCGTGGGCACCTGCGAGTCACTCCTCGTCCGCCTGGAGGGAGCCAGGGAGCGTCTCCAAATTGGCCGCGACGCCGCGGCCGAAGCCCGGGCGGGGGCGAATTCTCCCCACGCGGGTTGGTGTCCTCCGGAGCGTGGCGCACGCCGCGGGACTGCCCTCACCCCGCGCGCAGGGAGCGCGGAGCTTGGGCCCGGTGGTGCGCCCCTTTCGTTGCTCTCGCAGCGGTGGAGTGTCCAAGACGCTTCCGCGGATTCCGCAGGGTCGTTCCGGAGTTGCAACTCCATCGTAATTGAAAGGATTCATATGGTTTGATTTTTGCTCAGATGAAAAAATTTGCGAGAAAACGAAAACTCCCTCGGCAAAGGACAATTTCACAATCAGAACGCCCTGCCCGCCCCGCGCAGCGGCCGGCAAGCGGCCCCGGCCCGGAGGAGCGGGGAGCGTCTGCTAATTGCAGCTTCGTTAGATTTCGGGTTTGGGAGGCTGCGGTTCAGGCGCTAATATCCGTCGCCCATTATCCCGGCTAATAAATTTGACCTATTGTTCGTTTGTTAAAATGATGTCACCTTGGAACAGTCCCTAAGCTCCTATTTCCATGAATTAGGCCTTTATTGAAAGCCGGGAGCCAATGGGAGGAGAGAGGCTTGTTGATCGCAGCCAATGGCTGCGGCGGGAGAGGAATTAGCAGCGGAAACTCCAGGTTCGGTTCAAGAAAGATGACACAGAGCCTGTCGGGCCCGCGCACTCTTGGCAAAGTTTCAGTGCGAAGAGAGGCGCCGGGCGCTCCATGGCCGCGCCGTAACGGGGACCCAGCCACCTCCCAGCCCAGCCCAGCCCAGCCCTTCCGCCCGCCCAGGATGGAGGCGCCCGCCAGCGCGCAGACCCCGCACCCGCACGAGCCCATCAGCTTTGGCATCGACCAGATCCTCAACAGCCCGGACCAGGACAGCGCACCAGCCCCGCGGGGCCCCGACGGCGCCAGCTACCTGGGAGGGCCCCCGGGGGGCCGTCCGGGCGCCACATACCCGTCTTTACCAGCCTCCTTTGCCAGCCTCGGCGCCCCCTTCGAGGACGCGGGATCTTACAGTGTCAACCTGAGCCTGGCGCCCGCCGGCGTGATCCGGGTGCCAGCGCACAGGCCGCTGCCCGGGGCCGTGCCGCCGCCTCTGCCTAGCGCACTGCCCGCCATGCCTTCCGTGCCCACGGTCTCCAGCCTGGGTGGGCTCAATTTCCCCTGGATGGAGAGCAGCCGCCGCTTCGTGAAAGACCGCTTCACAGGTGAGCAGGGCGGGCAAACAGGGGCCCGGCCTCGGCCCTCCCGGGGCCAGAGGCGCCGCGTCCTCTGTACTCCATTCCGGGAAACGATTCCAGAGGCCCAAACGCGGCAGAGGCCTCAGCGCCCAGGGTCCCGGGCAACCATAGAGGGGAGGAAGATCAGCGAGCGAGTTCCGGGGAAATAAGCCTCTGCCCGGGGGAAGCGAGGGGACGAGGGGGGCATCTCCCAACAGGCTTGGTGCCTCTGGGACGCGCGGGACCAACGAAATGCGGCGCACTCTCAGCCCCATCCGGTGGCACGGGGTCCGCATGGGGCCTGAATGGCAGTCGAGCCGGGCTGGGCTTCAGGGGGCCTCGTGTGTCTCCGCAGCGGCGGCGGCGCTCACGCCCTTCACCGTGACCCGGCGCATCGGCCACCCCTACCAGAACCGGACGCCGCCCAAGCGTAAGAAGCCGCGCACGTCCTTTTCTCGGGTGCAGATCTGCGAGCTGGAAAAGCGCTTCCACCGCCAGAAGTACCTGGCCTCGGCCGAGAGGGCGGCGCTCGCCAAGTCCCTCAAAATGACGGACGCGCAGGTCAAGACCTGGTTCCAAAACCGGAGGACCAAATGGCGGTGAGAGAGGCCAGGCCCACCTAGCACCCGCCCTTCACCCGCCCCGCGCCGTAGCCTCGCTCTCTCCCCATCCTGTGCCACCCCCTACCAGCCCTCCCAGGGCTGCGCCTACCCCTCCTTCCCAGATTTTATCTCCCTTCTCTCCTTCCCGCCGGCCTGTGGTTCTCTCCCCACTCTCCCGCGCCTCGGCTTCTCCTGCATTCCCATCTCTGCGTCGCTCTTGTCCGCCTCTCCAACTCTCTCCGTGTTTTAGTCCGTTTCCTGCGCTCGCTCGGTTTCCTCTCATTTCCCCCTGCCCAACAAACGCCCCGCCCCGGGCCTCTCGCGCACCCCTTATGCTTGACCTTTCGGATTTCAGACAATCCGCTCGGGCTCTGAGTTCTCCTTCGAGCTCCCCGTTCCGACTCCAGCCCCCTTTTTATCCATTCCCTGTTTTTATCCAACCCGTGAACTGCGAAGCGATCGCTTCCTGGAAGAGGGGTTCGAGACAGGGCCGGGAGAACTGGATGGGGCTGACCGGGCCCGGGGACACCGCGCGGACGGTGCAGAGCCAGCCCGCCCACCCGCGGACCCCAGTGACCCGGCTGCCTGCAGGGCCGAGTCAGTTACACATTCGCCCTGCTCTTATTATCCCGCAAAAGAAACAATCTTTGTTGTTGGCGAAGCCACAATACCCGGGCGTGCAGGTGGGCGGCGGGCAGAGTCCCCTCCTGGCGACCGCCTCGCGCACAACAAAAACAAACGATCCCAACCCACTCCCCGGACGCGCGGGCCTCGGGCGGATAGCGCGGGCCGGGAGGCAGACGGGCTCTGCGCCTCGAGGCTCCTGGCTGGCCTCGGCTCCCGGGGGCGCTGGGGCCCCGCTGGCCACCCCGCGGTACCGGGTGCATGATGGTGCTGTCCCTCTCCCTCCCCCGGTGCAGGCGGCAGACGGCGGAGGAGCGGGAGGCGGAGCGGCAGCAGGCGAGCCGGCTCATGCTGCAGCTGCAACACGACGCCTTCCAAAAGAGCCTCAACGACTCCATCCAGCCCGACCCGCTCTGTCTGCACAACTCGTCGCTCTTTGCTCTGCAGAATCTGCAGCCCTGGGAGGAGGATAGCTCCAAGGTCCCCGCCGTCACCTCTCTGGTGTGAGCCACCAGCCCGCACCGTCGCCAAGGATCGCCGCCCGCACAGGGCGGGGCGCCCCGGACCCCCAGCCGGGCTGGGGGGGAACCGAGGCCGAGAGGGGAAGGGGCCGCCAGGCT